TTTATACGAGAACAGGTACTTTCTTTAGTTCATGCGATTCTCGAGGTTACTGGAAACCAAAAGTTGCGGGAAACTTGCTTTGCTTTTCTAAAAAGACAATCAAATTGGAGCTGCGAAAATTGGCTCTATGCCAGCTGCCCGAATGACACTCACGTGATACACAATTCGCCAAAAAAGTGATCTCTTCCGACGTCGGCGCAAAACTCGCCTTTTTTGGCGGGACCGTTTTATGAAATTCCCTGACTTTTCCCTGAATTTTTTGGTCAATTTCCGAATTTCCTGACTCTTTCCGGTTTTCCAGGTAGCGTGGCAACCCTGTTTTAACAATATTTGTTAAAAAAGCCCTATTAAAATCAAAAGCTAATAAAATTTCACAGTTTAATATATATATAATTTGTGACACAGATTCTTAAACGATATTACGATAATTACACATTAAAAGCTAGAAAACATTTATGTTTTGTAACAACAACACTCAACAAAATATTTATTCGTCATTTTAATTTGAAGCCTTTCCAGACATTTTGACTAGATTATATAGATTTCCTTCTCTCTAATCATCTTTTCTAACAATTAGAGATTTGTCTCAATATGCAAACCAATGCTCTCGATAGTTTCTGCATGCTTTATCTCCTAACCTGTCAACCTCTCCACAATGTATCTATGAGGGTTTAACTGATCTGGTAAAAGTTAAATAATCCCAAACCCTCCAACAGACATGAAGCATATTATTGCTATGTATGAAATTAACTACAATATCAGACAAAGGTTTAAATAATCGGCATGTTCTGATGCTAACAAAATCAATTACAGCTCACAGTGACATAATTAAACAAGAACACTCAAATTCAAACTAATAAAGTGGACTAATGCTCAAAGATTATACAATTTAATTTTAATTTAATCTGGCTCAACAACTCTATCATATGAAGAAATAGAAATGGGAAATTATAGTAAAGGCTGAAATCATAAACAATTGGGTAAGTTACATAATAATAACTGCACATATCTTTGAAGAATAATTTTCTTTATGTATTCAGTTTCTTCAACATGTTTCCTTTTCATTTTAGAATTTTTGGATTTAATTAAGATTTCTGTTATTAAAAAAAAAAAAAAAAAAAAAACTAAATGCTTTTAGAATATACAGAAAAAGAGGCTAATTTTATTTCTTTAGTAACATGAACATTCAGAAGCAAAATGAAATATATATATATAGTAAAGGCCAGTTACAGAGCTGATGTGGCAGAATTTCTAGAATTTAGAGACACACTGAAGAACGAAATCTAGAAATGACAAAATGTTTAGAATTTAGAGCAGACATTGGAAGCAGAATTTAGAAAGGCACTACGCAACAGAATTTAGGATCCACAGAGATTGCATCAGGTGGAAAAATGCCTAGTGCCAGCTATGTGTATGATGCATTAAAAAATATCAGATGAATTAAGACATAATAACACGCCGAATAAATACTAATTCAGAAGTCAAACAACAAAATGCTGATTTTTGTTATAACACTGATTTTTGTTGTTTGACTTCTGAATTAGTATTAGATGAATGTTTTAAATTGTAAGTTTTCAATTTCTTTATTAATAAAAAATCTCTTTCTATAATCCATGCCCATGTGATAAGATCAGAAGAATTTTTGATAGTTTCCATGCTTGTGTCTAGTGAAAAGTAGAGAAAATAGAAGATAAACATGTATCTTCTATTTCTAGTATCAGAAGTAAAACATTCAAATATTATGTTTTTAATGTTCTTCCAGATGCTCTCCAAAAAGTAAGAAATTCATTTCAAACTTTCTGTAAAATACATCCATTACGTGTTGATACTATGGAGACATTTTTCATTTTGTCACATATTTTTCGAATCTTCTAGAATCTTGGGTCTATAAATCTTGCCTTCAAATCCTTCTAAACTTTCCAAGCTGCAATGTCTAAAATCCTAAAGAAAAGTTATCCCTACAATTTCTGTAACAGCAAAGAGACAGAAATATTTTGGAAAAAAAAAGGAGGGAAAAATTCTGAATTCTGAGTATGAATATTCTGAGACAATTACACGGGAAAAACTCTTACTATGAAAAAATTAAAAACAAGACATTTTTAATTAATTACATAGACAATTTTGCTTGTGCTTTATAGCATTATACCTTGTTTATTTTTCAGATTCAAAATATTGTATAATAAGTTGCCAAAATGAAACTTTATAATATGACAGTGAAAAATAAAAATGTTTTATTTTAATGTTTTTTTAATATAATTTCAATATATTACCATTATTTTAATGAAATTTATCAATGTTATGATGTTTTAAAAAATTGTCAAAAAATGCTCAGATCTCGGAATTAAAACGTTCTATAGAAACTAATCCTAAAATCGCCAAAATGTTGAAAAGTTGCCAAATTTAGAACCGTTAAAAAAAAAAAAAAAAAAAAATTCACATCCCCAAAAGCGAAAACTTGTTTAAGAGCTCTTTATTCGAAAAAATTAATTTTGAAATGGTTATGTTTCACTTCTTGCTTAGAAACTCAAGTATCCCATCATTTATATTAGAAATAAAAACAAATTATAACTCATGAACCCATTGAAAAAATAACCATATATATGGCAGTGATTCGTCAAAAATATTCCTCCAAAATACTAATTCACACTCAAAATGACAGTTGTAAAAACAGGCAGAAATTTCAGATGATTAAAATTAAGGACCTTCTGCTGATTTTGGCTAAAATTAAGGACTAAAAATCAATTCCAAAAAATCTAAGGACTCTTAAGGACCGTACGAACCCTGTATATATAGGGAGAAAAAACACTAGAGGGGGGAAAGAAAAAAAAGATGAGCATTAGCAGATTAAAAAAGGGGGTAAGAACCCATCAAGATACGAAACTGATTGCTTAAGCACTTTACACCTGCTCTAAATAAATAGCAGGCTGATGCCAGAGGTTCATAGAAACATCCCTTCAAAAGTACATGCTGCTAAATGAATTATTGCCTGTTCTCTTGAGCAGTTAAAATCTACAGAAAGGGAAATAATGTTACATCAAACTAATTTGTATGTATATAATTTATGTAATAATAATTAAACTCATAGTTGGTTTTATTGAGCAATGAAGTTCATGTTGATGTCAAAAATTAATTTAAAAATTAGATTCACATTTTACGATTTACTTCAAGTTATGAATTTTTTTTGCTTACATACAAGTGCAACCACATTCGCACAGTCTGGAGATTTTTTATAATGGAAAAAGAATGGCTTATAATTGCAAAAACTTAATTATTACAAAGATATATATTTTTATACACATATTTTATATTTTAATTAGATATTTATTCTGAAAATCAATCTCTGAACATGTAGTTTTTTTGCTCCTTTTCTATGAGTGAAAATTTCATGATGAACTGCTTCAAGAATAAATTCAGAGTGAAAATTTCATAATGAATTGCTTCAAGAATAAATTCAATATAATTTGTTTTAATTAAGTATTTATTCTGAAAATCAATCTCTGAACATGTAGTTTTTCCGTATCTTTTCTATGAGTAAAAATTTCATGAATTGCTTTAAAAATAAATTCAATATAATTATTCCCTTTAAGAAGTCTACATTAAAATGCTGTATTTTTACAAAATTTTTACCACAATTTATTTGATTTCAAGCAGATTACAAATGCACTTTAAAACTGAGTTTAAGATAAAATATATCTGATTTGTCTAAAAAAATGGAGTTTGGAATGCAGCAAAAAAGAACACATAAAAAAATGAAGATGTTAATAAACTGAAAAATAGTTACATGCATGAATGACAGAATTGGGCCCATTCTGGATATTTGAAGGCTTTTACTAAAGTGGTTGCCTTACAATACAAAAGTAAAAATTTTTTTCTTTGCTAGAGAAATGCTTGAGTTTCTAGGGTGAGCTGCATATCACTGCTGCTCATTGGAACACCTCTAAGGAAAACAAAATATCAATCTGAACTAATCTGCTAAAGATTTAAAAAAAAAAAAAAAAATCTTTGATTGCATCAAAATATAATTAATGCTGGCAAGTATGACTGTAATCATCTGCTTTTATTCATTTATTTTTTAAATGGTTTATTGTTAGGTGGCTCTTCAGTGCACAGTCATATATTTTAATTTCGTCATAAAAAGTTAAGTCTACAGAAACCTGCCCATTTTCTTGATGAATTTGTTGCATCAATACCTTTCATGAATCTCGTATGCCGAAAGTTTGAAAGAATTTAATTTTTAATTTTTTTACGGAAATTTCATCTTTCACCATCAATTTTTTCAACTGGAAGGGAAAGCAGTGGAAAATGGGGAGAACTTAAGTTCATAAAAAAGAAAGAATACATAATTTTAGTTCAGAGATCAGAGTGGAAGTCACTAGTTTATAAAATAGAAGCGATTTGTAAATAAAAGAGTCATAAAAATGCATGTCCAACTGGTATATTTTGCCTTTCTGTCAGTTTCACTTATATGTGAAAATGTTTGTCTCTTCTTTATGATACTAAAATAAAACATATAATAAAGAAGTTCCCCCTATCAATATTTATTTAATTATTCTCTCTATGTGAGATGACACAAAATTGAAATCTTAAGAAGCAATATATTTAAACTATATGTTAATTTCTAACAGTTTTAAAATTTATCTCAGTCAACTTTCTAATTTCTCAACAATATTATCATTGTTACCTATTTATTTTATCCAAATTCTTAAACGGCGCTACAGTAATATCAAATTATGTTTGCATTCTTTCAGCAATAATTAAAACCTGTAGAATTAATGATTAAGAATATTAAGAAATGTTTCCAAGAGAAAAAAATTAATCATAAATAGCTACTGATTGAAAACTGCAGTCCTAAATATACATGCCTCCCCCCCTTTTTTTTAAATTTAGAATTAAATATACATAACAATACAGGTTTAAGTATTATAATTCTAGTCAACAAACACACAAGAAGGTACTTAACAGCTAAATAAATAGATCATCAAATAATTCTTAATACCTACCATGGCGAAAAACATTCACCATCTCTCCCAGATGAAAATGACCAACTTCTTGAAGATGTTGTCTTTCTCTTCATCAGTTGCTGCAGCACTTTAAAATAATTATTATAAAAGTTAATGGAGTTATAAAACTAATACTGATTAATAACAATTAGCAATGAAATGGCATAAATTAGATTAAAATATTGTTAAAAATTCAAATTATAAAAGCAGCAGGGGACCACTGTCTCACAGATTTTACTGAAATGCAACATAATTATAAGATATTATAAAGAATGCCAAGAAAGCACACATTTTTCAAAATTAAGCGAGAATATTGAGGACAGAGTTTTAAGCAAAATTCAAGATCCCTTTTTAATACTAAATGATGCTAGCCTTGATATTATTAAATAGATATGCTAACTTCCTCAAATCAAACCCTACTGATAACAGTACCTCTCTTTATTAGATCCTCCAAGTGTTAAGTGCTTGGCTCTAAATCTCTGAAGTTCCCCCAAATGTCACAAAATAATAATAATAATAAAATAAATAAGTAAAATAAAGGGCATATTCTTCATTAAATTCCAAAATGACCATCTAACACTGTACCTTGTGTCTTTTTCTTCCATTATACATGCAATCCAAAATTGGATGCAACAGAAGCTGGCAGAAATTTTCTTGTATAATGAGTTAGAGAATTATATCTTTAAGAGGAATGTTATTCCCCCCCTCAAAAAAAAAATTGGTGGGTTAAAAACGTGATTTTGTATTAACAGCAGATTTATTTATGAGACATATTTTTAAGAGAACATTGCCCTACCTCAAAACATGTGATACAAAAAGTTTAAAGGGGAGGTCCTAATTTACTTTACTTTTTAATTAATTTATTTGTGCATTTGATTAACCTTAAAAAATCTGAAACAGATTAATGGTGCCAAATATATTGAATAAAGATTAATTATTGCAATTTAAATATTTATTCTTCATATGCGGTTTTAATAGTGTTCTAAATTTTTTAATGTGATTTTATTTTGAAAAAAAAAAAAAAAAAAAAAAAAAAAAAAAAAGATTTGTGAAAATACTTTTAATAAAGTCGATGTAAAAGAAATTCATTACAAAAATCTCATACACAAATCAATTTTTTAATTGTTTTATTCTAATTTATTGCTTTCTCACAGCTTTCAACTCCTAAAAATTGCACAGGTTGGAAAAAATTGTGGTTTCTCACAATTCTAATTTTCTTCAGAATACATTTAAGTGGTTTTTTTTAAACATACACTCCCTTGCACCAAATGATACTTGCTTTGATGAAGAAGTAGAAGGTATCAAACTGGCAGCACAATACTTATTTATAATTGCAGAAATCTTTGAAAATGTAGCAATTTTTTTCTGATTATAGCAACAATTCACATTCAAATGTAGACTAAATATTGTAACTGTTCTCAAACACAAACGCTGGCTATTTCTAAAAGAATTTAACAGGGCACAGAAACAGTTACAAAAGAAAATACACATACCAAAACATACACATATGAATGAATGATGAACATGAAATACCTAATATTAAGAACTCATATTTAAAATTTACAGTTAGAAATTACAGACACATAATAATGAAGAAATTACCCTCAATGTAGCTGGAGGTTGACTGATCATTCTTTTCACCAATAGATGGTGTTTTATACAATAGTTCACTTACAGTCAAATAGTTGTTGCATTACCTTGGAATCTCGAAGACGTTATCTTGAAAATTTAAACCCCCATACAAGACCACTGTTCACCGACTACTCTTTCTTTTGCAAAGGGACAGAGTATTTCTTTTAAGCAAAGACAGATACAGAATTTGGAAGTTATCTTTAAATGCAGTATCATTTTCGACTATAATGAACATATAAAAAAAAAAAGGAGTAGAGACACTCACTCACCCAATAAATTCTTAGATCTCAAGTGGACGCAGTGTTGCAGCTTTCCATTTAAAATTTCGATATGACTGTTGAGCAAGATATTTATAAATATATTTGTATTCCTTCCTAGTCCCAAATGTTTGGTATGAAACACCAGAGTTATAATGTAATGCCAAAACACTGAAAATATCCATCTCTAGCAGGGAATATTTTTTAAAGATACTGGTACAGTGGAACCTCGAGATACGAGCACCTTTATATACGAGAAATTCGAGATACAAAGAAAGTATGAGTGAAACTTTTGTGACTGAATACAAGCACTGACTTGAGTGACAAGCAATGAGCCAGGCTGTTGGTATGCGTGGCGTCATTTCCCAATTCGGCTCGACTCGGGGAAATCAGCTCGTCAGATCACTCTGTTCTTTGATCTACCAGTTTGTGCACTTGATTAAGGAAGAAATTAAGAAACTTGATATGGCCAAAGGAGTTATCATTACTTACAAGCACCGTCCTAAACACCTAGAAAATGTTGAGAAGCTTTTGTTGGTGTTGATTAACGAGAAGCACTTAAAGGGCGATTCGATATTGGAAGCTATCATTTGTGATGCTAAAGCAAAGTTTAAAGTTTTATAAAATTAAACATTTAGCAGTAGTAGCAATAAAAGCTTCCTGAGTTAATATGTTGTGCAGACATTGAAGACAATAAAAGATTTTGAACTTAACCAATTTATTAACAATATAATAAATAATAAAAACACAGAAAATAAATTTCAACAATATCAGAGTCTTAGGAAAAATATAATATAACCATCATTCATCAAATAATATTTTTACCTGGTCTCCAAAACACTGGCATTCAATACAAACAAAAAGTCCTAAACAATAATTATGCAGCCTCAAAATGAAGCTGGCTACACATTCAATAAGTCCATAATCAGTGGTTGAGAAAACACCTGAAAATTTAAATCAAGTTCTTGAAAACACTTAAAACCGGCCTAACTCCGTTTGCACGAAGAATCGCCGCTCACGTGTTTTTAAATGCTGCCTTCATTGAAGAACATGGATGCCGCCCACAGCAGTCACTCATATGGTAGCCTCTGGAACCAAGGAACTTTATTCTGGAACAATCATCTTATCGATATGAACCAAGGAACTTTTTCCGGAACAATCAACCCGCGGACAGGCACCAAGGAACTTTATTCAGGAACAGCCATCCCGCAAACCGGAACCAAGGCACTTTATTCACTGGACTGCATGCATCCTTCTGAAGGGGCTGGAAACCGCTCACTCAAGTGCCAGGAAAGCAGGAACTAGAAGGGTTGAGCCAGAGCGACGCGAGATACTTATAGCAGAAGTATGAATGACGTCATCTCACAGCAACCAATCAGCTATCGGCACGAATCGGCTTTTCAGATGACGTAACATCACGTTTCGTTTTTGCATCGCAATTAGGTTGAAACAGTCCGTTCTCAACGCAAACAGTGGCAGCAAGAAAAAGAAGTAGAAGTAACTACTATATTACATTAAAATAAGAACTAAACTAAATAAACATTTCAAGGAGGAGAGATGATGCAGTAAAAGGTTAAAAATAGCTATATTTTCCAACAAATGCCCCCCAAATCATCATCTCCGACTGAAATAAAACCGAATGCCAGTATCTTTACAAAATTCAAAACAAGAATAAATAAATATCACAAATTTCGTTCAGAAATTTTTTAGAGAATTTTCCTTTGGGAACATCTTATCCCATTATTCAAAAATTTACCATAGCAAGAAAGTTCAACATGTTACAAAACAATACAAAGACATAATGTATGATAATACATTCAATACATTTACCCAGGGCCCTGGTCAATCATACAAGCATTCATTACACTATACAATTTTTACATTTACCTAATACATCCATCATAATATGACTTACAACATATTATTTTCAATGATACAGTTGAAACGTCTAAACAAAACTCGTAATTTACAGTTAAATATACAAAAAAACAAATTTCATAAGAAAATTGCTCCACAAAATCTTATTCAGTTATGCTTTAGTCAGCTGATTTTGTCATGGGATCAGCCAGATTATCTTTACTTGGGAACATATTTTAAATCAAAAATTTTCCTCTTCAAGTAGATCATGAATGAAGAATAACTTTCACATCTATATGTTTTGTCCTTCGAGTTTTCAATTGGGTGATTTTGTAAAACTTATAGCAGCCATGTTATTCGCAAAGCAATATAGGTATTCGAAACATAGTTATTTGCAATCGTAAACTGAATGCATTCATCCAAAATGTTTTTAAACCAAACCTAAGTTCTTTTGCTGATTCAGTCATGGAAGTAAATTCAGCCTCCATAGTAGACAAACTCACTCCCCTTTCTTTAAATGTACAATCTGCCAAGATACAGGTGATTCTCCCAACAAAGCTATTTGTCCACCAGTAGACACCATATCATCCCTGCTTGAAGCAAAATCCGAATCTGAATATATATTTAGCTTCAGTTCCTTGCATACCAGTTTAAGTTTGTGCTGTCTGGTATTGGAAACGTACCCTAAAAGTGTAAGTAATCCTTCCCAGTGAAACTTACCAGGATTGCTTTGGAACCGAGAAAATATATTAACAGCATAAGCTATATCCGGACGAGTACGATTGCAAAGAAACAAGACACATCCCAAAACATTTTTAAAAGGATAATTCATCATTTCAGTCGTTTCTTCTTGTGTACTGGGACTTTGAGTATTTCACACCTTTAACTATCGGAAGGGAAGTAATTTGTATTTTAAAAGACTTAAATCGATCAACTATGTCTTCTATATATAATTGCTGATGAATTAAAACACTATTTTTCTCCTACTCAAACTCCACACCCAGAAGCTTTCTTGTTTTACCTAAAATTTTCAAATCAAAATGTGAACTCAAGACTTTTAATATCCTTTTGGCCTGAACTTCACTTTTTCCAAACACAACTATATCATCAACATAAACCAACAGAATGACAAAATCTTTAAAACGATAGACACAATTACACCACTCAAACTTGGTAAACCCTAGAGTTACATAGTGTTCTATCCTAACTCGTAGTACCATAATCGCCCACTCTGATGCAGACCATACAAGGCCCTATCTAAACGACACACAACAAGTTTTCTTTATCTCGCTCTACAAAACCCTGAGGTTGGGACATGTAAATTTCCTCAGATAAAGAAGCG